GCGAAGAAGTCCTTGTGTTGGGACAGGATTTTCGACGATAGCGTCGTGCGGGCGATGTTCATGAGGTCCGACTGGAAGCGCTCGGTGTCGGCGCTGTTGTCGGTGGCGACCGACTCAAGCGCTGCGCGCGCGGCCGTCACTGACTTACGCCACCCCGAGACGATGGTCTGCGGGTGCAGTCGCATAGAGACGAGGGTTTCCGCCTCTTTCAGCAGTTCCGCCGCCAATACGGCTACGGATGTCGTCCCGTCTCCCACCTCCTCGTCCTGTGTCTGGAGTGAGACATAAGATATGGGATTAGTTTATGGCGTAATCAATGGCGTGTCTTATGAGTAGGTGGTGGCGATCGGCGAGTACTGAAGTCATGGATTAGTTTATGCGATAATTAGACAATGGATTAGTAGGGTAAGTGATAATGTAATCAAAGACATGACATATCATGTCATTTACACACAAAAAACTAAATCCACGGATCAGTGACCACTCGCTGGACACCCATTACCCCCACGAAATGGCATACCTTCGAGATGTCGACCAACACTTTGGCCGCCGGGTTGTCGACGCCCACAGCCCTCAAAATGGTCGCCCCATCGTTGGTCACCTCCACTCTGCCCTCATTCCTGCCCTCACACAGCAATATCTTGTCCATCCCTTTGGGCCCTAACGTGGACTTCACGAGCTCTCCGATGGCGATGGCGCCGATGAATGAGGACAGGCGTGCCGTCTCTGCCTTCTCCTCCTCCGCCTCGCCCTTCAGTATATTCACCGGATTCAGTGAACGCGACTGTATGTTAAGCATAGCTGATCCGTCGGGTGATGTTCAGCTGTCAATGGGATTGAGTGGTGAGACGATTGGATCAGTTGTCTGTACTAATGGTGAAGACAATGACTGTTGAAAACGCTTTGACTTTATTTGGGCCTAAAATGCAAAACACGTTTTGTTTGCCCACAAGAAAACGGCACGTGATTTGTGGACAGAGAGAGTGTGTCACACGTAGTCTATGGACGGCTCCGACACACGTTTTTCGCATCCTTTTCCGTTTCGTGTGTTTTCATTGAATTCTTCCGAAAAACAAACTACTCGTGAGTTTCGCGGCGATTATCACTGCGCTGACCATTTCACTGACCAATTGACGTACCATTCCTCCCTTTCCCCTGACAGCGAAACAATGGTGAAAGGCGTGGGCGTGTCTCGTGACCTGCAATGGGTGCTGACCCGCAACTGGTCCTCGTCTCTGATCAAAGCCCGCGGTATTAACCGTCGGTTCAGTCGCTCGCCATTCAACCCCAAAGGCCTGTTTGTGCCCCGATTTGAGGGACAGTACCAGCAGAAGGCGCTCACCATTGAGCCCAATGCCGGTGGGAAAGGCGTGACTCTGGTGTATAAGAAGCGCCGACACCAACGAAAGCCGGCCAAAGCCGTGGCCCGTATCGTCTTGAATAAGGACTCGCGTCGGACGCTGAAGAATATTAAGACGTTTTGCAACCGAAACCTCTACAGGACTGACCTGAAGAATGTACGTATCATCGGATCTCATGTCTCAATTGGTGTCTAAGAAGTTATTGTATTAATGGTTTGTTGTATTTGTTTGTGTGGTGTGTCTGTAGGTATGTCTGCGTCGGGCGTCGGCTATACTCCGCAGTCAGAAACCCAAACCAATTAAGAAGAGCCGGCGGACGGCCGCCCCCAAGAAGGCCGCCGAGTAAGTGGTTCCCCGGATGTCGAGTGGATTAGCGAAACGATGACCACCTTTTGAATAATTCATTTGATGTTAATATCGATGTTTAATATTAAATAAAAGCCTTTTTTGCGGAATATTTGTTACGCTTTTACTGGTAGTGTCCCGACCTCAGCGGGGCATCGGGTGCTCGTAGGGGTGTAGCCGTGTTTAGGCTGCTATTGGTTGTTAATGAAATGGAAAGCCTTTTTCGATTAGCAGTTAATTACTGCAATGATCTAAATGTTTATTTCGTAAAGTTATTGCATTTGATTACATATTTATAAGCTTTAATTGAGTCACTAATTCATATGACTATTAGTCACTAATTAAAGGCTATCTTTTAATACAGTATTTATA